CCCGCTGAGAAGCTTCAGCATGAAGATTGACAGATGTTTGTGCTTCAAGTCGAGCTTTGGGGTGCTTTCAATGGCCTTCAACTCGCTGACATACTGGGTTCCGTAGTATTATCATAAAATTGGATAGCGTTTTAGTGGTGTAGTTATTTACTAAGAAAGATTACGACACTAATGTGCATGCTGCCCTTTGTTCGTGAGATCAAACACTTTTACTGCATGACTAACAGGTCAGGATCCAATATTTTTATAGCAAAGGAAATAGATGCGGTGATTGGTTGACAAATATCTACTTCTCTCTACCGAGGGTCTCCACTCTCATGTTTAGGTGTCGAATGATTTCCAACAGTTCTTCACTGACGATATCATGAGTATCTCTTGATCCAGATGTGCATGACGATCTCTTAATTTTTTTTTGATTTTTGCATCTCTTTATATATAAAAAAAAAAATTTACTTAGAAAATAATCACAAACACATTTGTTCTTGTACTTGTAAAATTCAGTACTTTTTATTGGAATCACAAACATTAACGGTCTATAATATTAAGGTAAGTAACAATTTAGAATTAAATTAAATCGAAGATTGATTAATAATGAAAGTCCATACCGAAAACTAGATTGTTTTAAATCCAATCAGAATTGGGTTGGACTAGTATTTTTCGGTTTGGATCGAATTTTTTTCTTTCTAATTTGTTAATTAAAAATATTAACGACTAAAAATTATATATAAATATTTTGTATTTCTGGTTCAAACTGATTTTTTGATTTGTATCGGAAATGAGAATCATATCAGGTTGTTTCATCTTATTTTGTCTCATTTTTTGATCTGACATTAAAAAATTATACATCTCTACTTAACTGGGAATAGTTTGGTCATATGGTTGAATGGTGAATGATGCATTGAGTCCATCGTTTCCGTGCGAGATCTGCCTTGATATGGTTGAATGGTGGATTGAACCATCATCACATGCACAGCTATATCCCCAGTTCAGATTGGAATTGTCCATGTCTTCACATAACTGGCCAAGTGGTTAAGCCACAGAAAAACAAAAAGCTTTGACCAAACAGTGAAAATTAATCCAACAGATGAAATACTGAATCAACAATTTTAACCAGCAGTTGATAAAAAGAGAAAGGTAGAGCAAGGGCAGATATAGGGAGAGAGAGAGAGAGAGAGATGATATAGAGAAACTCTATATATATATATATGTGTGTGTGTGTGTGTGTATTATTTTTTAAAACGTAAATCCGTACTTTCAATGTGTTATTATTAATCAAATAAGTTTTCTGTATACATAATTACATATATAATACACTAATAAAACATATATATATATATATATATATATCTCTCTCTAGTTTTGGTTGGGACAACCTGAAAAGGTGAGTGCATGTCCATGTGGTCATGAACTTGGTTGGGTGGTAGGTCTGTCTCACCAATGAAGAAGAAAGCGCCACGTCCATTGTTTACTTGTTTTGACCTATTTACATTACACTTGGCTTCGTCTCCTCCTCACATCTTACCTAATTACTAATTCTACCTTTATTATTGCCCCCCAAGATTGGCAGCTACCTATCATTTATACAGTCCATAAGTACATATACCCACTTCCTTGTATGTACAATTGCTTATATAAATAACAAATTCATATGTTAAATCAAATAATATTAAATGAATAATAAATTCATATATGACCAAGTGTAACTGAGTAACTCATATGAGATCTTTATGCCACTAAAATTAAGTATGGTTCCACAATTTAGTAATATATTTAAAATTTTAATACTACCCACTTCCTTGTATATGCAATTTCTTATATAAATAATGAATTCATATATGACTAAATCAAACTGAATAACCCATTTCAAATTTTTGTGGCACTAAAATTAAGGGTCGTTCTGGAATTTAATATATTTAAAATTTCACACTAGTAATTATAATTATAATAATCAAACCCACGTGGTAATATGTGTATATATATGCTTCTTCGTAGTATATATCTATATATATATATATATGTGTGTGTATGTGTATGTTTAACGTCCAGCTGGGGTGCCACCACTGTTCGTGTCCTGTCATTATTATGGTTTAACTTAACTCTATAAAAAGTAACATTATCAGTTACTACCTTCCCCATTAATGAGCTTATTTAACAAAGCCAAGCTGTTTCTTTTCAATCTGAACAAAGACTTACAAAATAATAAAAAATGGAGGTGGAGAGAGTTCAGACAATCGCCTTATCATCTCAATCCAAACAAACCATACCGGCGGAATTCATCAGGTCCGAGAAAGAACAGCCTGCAATCTCCACATTCCATGGACCAGCTCCCGAAATCCCCACCATAGATCTTGCCGACCAAGACGACCAAAATCTGATCCGGTCAATCTCTGATGCAGCCAAGGAATGGGGGATTTTCCAGGTGGTCAACCATGGGATTCCAACCCATTTGATTGAGAAGCTTCAGCAAGTTGGAAAAGAGTTTTTCGAGCTTCCCCAGGAAGAAAAAGAGGTGTATGCTAAACCCTCCGGTGCACAAACTGTTGAAGGCTATGGAACCAAACTACAAAAAGATCTGGGGGGAAAGAAATCTTGGGTTGATCATCTTTTTCATAGAATTTGGCCTCCTCAACGAATTAATTATCAGTTCTGGCCTAAGAACCCTACTTCTTACAGGTTTGAAGACTTCTTTTACGTTTTCTTTTTTCAGTTCTTTCCATTTTCATGTATGTCAAAGATAGAACAGATCTAGATTAAAACAAGAAAGAAACAGATTCTTCTGTCCACGTTTTACGTGTTACATGCAGGAAATTCTACGTTTCCTGCCATGTTTTTCTAGTAAATTAATTTTATGGTCATAATAATAATTAAATAATATCGTCTAGTAATCACTTAACTACAAATGTACAGTATATATCTATAAACTATTTAGTGAAACCCATTATATGTGCAAAATTCTACTGTTTGATTTATTTTAGAATGAAAATAAATTTTCTTGAGTAAATTAAATATTGATTAGTAGTCACATATATTTTTGCAAAGTACACTGTAAAATCATTAATTAGCTTTTTCCATTATGCATTAATTTGTGGGGTAAAGGTGGATTATGTATTATGTAAATGTTTTTACTATGAAGTTAATTGTGTTGTTTTTTAATTACAAAGTTAATTATAGAATTATTAAATATAAATATTTCTAAATCAATAAAAAGTATGAATTTTTATTTAAAAATTATTATTTTTTAATATTTTTGCGAACATGTATGTAACTTGTTAGAATTCATAAACTTATAAAGAAATCAAAGTGTTAAATTAATTGATGTTTTATTCACAGGGAAGTTAATGAAGAGTATGCAAAGTACATGAGAGAGGTGGCGGAGAGACTGTTTAAGAGTCTTTCATTAGGGTTAGGGTTAGAAGCTGATGTGCTGAAAAACGCAGTGGGCGGTGATGATCTTGAGTATCTCTTAAAGATTAATTACTACCCGCCATGTCCTCGGCCTGATCTGGTTTTAGGGGTGGCGCCGCACACCGATCTTTCCTCACTCACCATTCTTGTGCCTAATGAGGTTCCAGGGCTCCAGGTTTTCAAGGATGATGTTTGGATCGATGCTAAGTACATCCCTCATGCACTCATCATACATCTGGGTGATCAGATTCAGGTTATATATGCATCATTTTTAATAATCTTATAAGTAATAATTATAATTGAAGTATATTAATACGACAGTTGAAGCATTCATATACATATACATATATATATATTATATTTAGAATTATTATATAAGATATTTTCGCTTTGCAAACATAGCCACAAACGTTTTATATATACATATATATATGTTTATATTAATGATTAACGATTTTCTTTTTGTTTCTGTTGATATATCTACCTATAAAAAATTCAAGGAGAGAGTGGAAATGAGAGATTCTATTAGACATCTATATAAAATATATTTACTTTATATTCTTTAAGTTTATGTATTCACACATGCATTTTTTATTATTTATTTTATAAAAACACATAATATTATCTTTTTGGTTGAGTAATGAAATTATAGAAACAAATTTGAAAATATTAAATACGAAATTTTATTTCCAAAGCTAATTCTCATATTCATTATCATTATTATTACTTTTAAATATTTTCCTTATTTTTAAATATTAAAAATATTATTTATTTTCAAATGGTAGAATGTCCACAAAATGTTTGAATTTCAATTAGATGAATATACACATAATACGTACAATAATAATTGGGAATTTCATTTGTATTTTCTTTGATGTGTGTGTATACATATTTATGTACATATGGTGGAACTAAAATTGGGTGGGTGGGTGGCAGATACTGAGTAATGGAAAATACAAGAGCGTGCTTCACAGGACAACAGTGAGCAAAGAGAAGGCTAGAATGTCATGGCCTGTTTTTTTGGAGCCACCGCCGGAGTTGGTGGTTGGGCCTCTTCCTCAACTCATTGATGAACATAACCCTCCAAAGTACACGCCCAGAAAATTTAAGGACTATAGCTACCGGAAACTTAACAAGCTTCCACTCTAGATCATTTTTTTCTTCTTCTTCTTAATTTTCTCTACTTTATTTCTTCTATATATATATATATATATGTACACATATATTAATGTATGGGAGAATCAATCTCTTACCCATGTTTAAGAGATGAGGTATGGTAACAATAACTCCTAGTTAATCAAAAATTATATATTATTTATCAACTATGTAAGTATCTTTTATAAAAAAAAAAAATTATGTTGGGATCCATTTCTGTGAGTAGAGGTATGGTATTTTCTGAAATTCCATGATATTTCCATCTAAGTAATGGTTGTAATATGTTAGTATTAAACATTTTTTTTAGGTTATGATTTTCTTCAGGAATGACCCACGTGAGTTTGGTTTAACTAAATTTTATTTATTGAGCATGTAAAAAATAATTATAATTCACATATTTAATCTATAATTTAATTAATTTCACTCATATATTTGATCACGCAACCATGAACTTGTCTACCAGAAAAATGGATTACAACAAAACTTAGAATTGGATGTAAAATTAATTTATAACATATATTATTTTCATATATCGTATTCTCATATTCCATAAAATTTAAAATTTAAAGTAAATCTAATGTCAGATATTCCTAATAGCATTGTATATTATATATACATTTTAATAAATTCCCACAAAAATATTCCCCTTTTATTGTTTACCTTATTTAAATAATTTCATTACAACACCTGTTTCTAATTAATTTGAAACTTAACTTCGTAGGCGTAGTTAAGCTGTAAATATATTTTTCTATGCATATCCTGAATATTCATAAATGTATTTGAACTCTAGAATATTCTCTTGAACTAATTATAATTGTAAATATGGTGAACTTAACTATCATTATAAGTATAGTTATGATCACCACATTCACAAATATAGTAAATTTAAAAAATAATTTTTTACCTCACAAGTAAAATTGTTCCAAGAGGAATTTTTTTTCGAAATTCATCTCAATAACCATACCTTTTACCTTTCTCAAAAACCAAATACTTTGGATGCCATTTCTAACAAAGGCTCTAACGCACTAGGTGCGAACTTTCTTGCAAAAAGGTAACAAACAGTGGATAGCTGATTATTGTAGAGGCATAATTGACCTTCAGACATCCTCTTAAAAAGATCTTCTGTTATATCATTCTTCTCAAATGTGGCCGGGTGAGCGCCTCCTCTTGACCAGTCTGTCCATGTAAACGTCCTGTTTGCCAACAGATGCGGAGCTTCAATGGATAACATTGTAGGGAAATAGTGTTCATCAACGTAGCATGCTGGTTTGCAGAACTCTTTGAACTTGGGATGGTACATGGTATCCTGGATAATAACAATTGCGAGTCTCCGATTAACTTCAAACCACTGAGCACCTTTACGCCACTGTTCAAGTGTAACTACGGGTTGCATTTCACTATTGTAGCGTCCTCTCCCATAAGGTCCAGGGTCGTCAAAAGACCCCACAAAACTGTATTCTGATCTCGATATGTAATGATAGATGATGCTGAAGTTGTGGAGAGGAATGCATGCCTCAGACAGAAGGATGAACCATTCATTAGAAATATCAAGTAATGCATTAGCAAGAAGTCTCCTCTCAGCATCACACATACTCATCTCCCCCCACTCCACAACCTGACTAGGGATTTGTCTCCTGTAGAACACTGATGACTCTGGGAAATCTGAGACATAAGGTGGCAGTGCATGAACATAGATAGAATAATGCTGTTCGTGTCCTTTGAGAAATCTCTCCCAAAGGGGTGCCAGTGGCAGTGGGCCTTTTGTCAAGAACATGAAGGCAATCTTGGGAACTCTCTTAAATGGATATTCTTTTCTTAAAGGTACAAAGGAAGCTCGCCAGAGGAGCTCACTGTCATTCATGGTATGCCACAGTTTGGATGGTGGTCTAATCCAACTTTCTACATAATTAACCTCTTGATGATAGCAAGGAAATATGGTGGTGGTTGTTGCAAGGGCAATCTTCTTAACTCCAAAATACCGTAACATGCGCATGCTAATGATTGAAAACCCAAGACCCAGACATAGAAGCAGCAAGAAGATTTGAAGGAATCTCAATTGCAAAGCCCTAGATTGGGTTGTCCTAAAAGCAATGGTTGAAGAAGGGTCCTTGCCCTCCTCCATTGACACCAATCTTGATTGCATCTAAACTATCAAAATCACTCTCTGGATTCCCCAAAAAAACAAGTGTTTCCAAGTGAAAACCTCTTCTAATACAAAAAACAGAGCATGCCATAGCATTTTATAAAGAAGAAAATGGAGGGGGTTTGGCATTCAAAACAAGTGCGTAGAATACGATTCTTATAGTAACAAAGTCATTTATTTTCCTAAGACTTTCTGATCTTAGTTAGGGTACTAGCATGGAATTGCACTATATTTGCACTTTCAACCAAAAGGGCAAAGTTATACAAAATTTTGACTTTAGCCCAGACAACATCTTCACTTAACAGACAGAGAACTCATATGACCAAAGTATTTTTCCACAGAAATGAGGTGCATACTACTTTCCATAATTGCCTTATACGAAGGTTGTACGTCACTTTTACATACATTTACATTATGCCTACTTTGGGTCCAAAAAACAAGGACAATCACAGGAAAAATTACAAATAATGGATGGACTAAGTCAAAGATCTATAAGGCTTGGGCTCTCACAAATGAGAATTTCCACTTTTTGTACCTTAAGATACATGTTTATGAGTAATGAATAGTAATTGGAACTATCCTAAACGTGAGAAGGATTTGAGTTTCCTACTTCTGATGTTATCAGGGGTCATTTATGATGAGAGTTTCCAGCGTGTGTGTCATGATATAAGAACAATTTTCAAAGATGAAATTGGAAAATGACATCAAGACAACTTTTAAAATCAACTTGTCTCTGTTCAGCAAAGTCACCCCCTGCGAGCAGAAGGGTACCAACCACAAGATAGGTGGTCCCTTAGCTCTAGAGAATGCAATAGAACCCTTATGAAAATAAAATTAGGCAAATCATCCCTTGGAGGGAAACCAAAACATGTTATCCCATTAAAGGGTAGAAAGTTTGGTATGTTTTAATGAAGGATTAGGCACCCTAAAGAGCTAGACAATTATACTTCAAATCACCAAGCAGTTATAGTTGACCTATTTATTGTTAGCTTTTCTAGTCCATTTACTTTTTAAACTGTTTATTGTTATTCATGCATTATATGACAACTATTGACAACCATGTATTCATCATTTATACAAATAAAGCAACAAAAGAACAGAAGTAGAAACAAATTAGATACTACTCTTCTTTCCCAAATGATTATACATAAAGTGAAATGGACTATAAGCAATAAGAAGGAATGCAAGAAATAAGCTAATAATAGAAATATAAACAATCACATCAAAGGAGGGGACTGGTACCAAAGACAGAAAAATAACCATGG